CCATAATTCAATTATTTCTTTTTGATAGGTTCCTAGAAGGATAATGACTTAGGTTCAAATGTATGAACATATTGACTACATTCTGTTTTTAAAGTTTACTAATAAAGACAATTGAATAGCTTGCTTCATTGGACTATCAGGGAATTCTTGGCTCTGCAAATTAAATTCTTAGAATAAATGCTAGCTGGTAGATTACAAACCTAAGGTTTATCTAAAAATCTAGTGCTCTTCAAAATCTCTTTGTGATAAGCCATTAGCAATAAAGAGAAGATAAAATGGAGCGTTTCTCTTTTTACAGTAAACTCTAACAGACGCAGAAGTGCAAGTGTGGTTCAGGAGACCTTGCCCCGCTTTCTGTAACCCCTCAACTGCATTCATTCCTTGGCATTCCCTTCCTAACACCTGCCCTTTAAATCCTTCACTTTGCACTGTCATTGGACTTTTAGATTCCCTCCTTATCTCTGACCTTTTTATTTAAGGATGTGACTTTTGATTAACCTTTGCCCTGTGGGTCAGCAGTTAAGCTGTGCATTCTCCCAGCCCTTTCATCTTTTGCCTTTTTAGGAACAAAGCCAGTCGTGCATAATGTACACTTATTTTGGCCATCTCAAGCCATTCTTAGGTGATGAAACCTCCTAAGGCAGGTGCTGCCAGGGGTATCCTTGAATAGGAATTATGAGAAAAACTTTTAAGAAGAGCATTAGACTTTGGGTTTCTCAGAAAAGTTCAGCCTGTTCAAGTTTCATTTCAATGTCATCTTTTAGAGTTAAAAAGCTAAAAGAGTACTCTTAACGGAGTCAGTTGTCATATAAATTTTCACATTTTAAAAGTGAGGGGTCAGTTGCAGTGCTGCTGCAGGGATTAAATATTAGAAACTCTTCCTGGACTCAAGCAGATTTTAGCTTTTTAGGGGAAACAGAATACACATAGATGTCTATAACATAAGGTAGAAGAAATAAGGATCGTAAAGCACATAAGGGGATTCTAAGAAAGGAGAGATTAGATTAAGTACTAGAAATCTAGGGGATGGTGTTTAAGATCAGCCATGGGCTGGCACAGTGGCTCATGCCTGTAATCCCAGCACTTTGGGAGGCTGAAGCAGGAAGATCACTTGAGCCCAGGAGGTTGAGATCAGCCTGGGAAAGATGGCAAGACCCTGTCTCTACAAAAAAATAAAATAAAAAATAAAAATAAATAGCCAAGTGTGGTGACATGCACTTATAGTCCCAGCTGCTCAGAAGGCTGAGGCAGGAGGCTCCCTTGAGCCCAGGAGTTTGCGGCTGCAGTGATGGTGCCACTGAACTCCAACCAGAGGAAAAAGGATCAGCCATGTGGAATCTGACTAGATGGAGGGGTGAGTAGAACAAGTGAGAACGGGAGCATTCATGCAAGCATTTGGCATCACAGGAGTCAAGTCAGAAGCAGCAAAGAGCGGGCATGTTTGCGGATCTTTAAGTAGTTTCACTGGCATGTACAATACATATAGTCATTGTGGAGGGTGAAGGGAAGGAAACACTGGCCCCGGGCTGCAGAGGGCCAGGTTTGCTAGGGTAGACAATCGGGTGGACAAGATACTGAAGGTTTTGTAGCAGAGAAGTGATCACGGCTGTAGTACAGCTGTGATTTGAGAAGGCCCATTAGGGAGCTGTGAGAAAAGTGACATGAAGAGGAAGAAGATTGATTTCAGGTGACACTGGTTTTTTTCAGGGGAGCTGGTGCGGGGTGGGAGGCACGTGTCCAAGCCAGGACAGCGGTTGTGAAGATGAGAGAAGGGGTGAATGTGCTTAGTAAATTTATGAAATTTTTCTTTAAATGAAAATAACAATTTCTTTTCTTAAATAATTTATTTGCAATAAATTAACAGTTAAATAACAAATTAAAATCAATGGTTAAAAACTCACAAAACATCAACAAAGTCTTTGGTTGATATATCTAATCATGTTTTACAAAGCACAATAATTGAATTTCAGTAAGAAGACATATGAAGAAGATTATTGAATGCTATAGAAAAGGGGCAAGCATAATGATAAGGTGCTTTTTCATTTTCAATCCTTGGTAGCTGAACAGGGCTATAGAAAGTCTAAACAATGTCTGTAGGCCTGGATCTGGGTCCTGGGTTTCCACTAACTGCACATGTGGCCTCTGGAAAGTCACTTCAAAACACTCTAGAACCATTTTCTCCTCTGTAAAATAAGGGGCTGGCATTATTCCACAGCCCATCAAATAATCTATATGAATCAATGGACCTGTTTATACCTGGTTTCTAGAAGTTTCTAGTGGGATCCATAGCAGACCAAACATTTCTTTTTTTTTTTTTCTTGAGACAGAGTCTTGCTCTCTGCTGGGCTGCAACTGCCACTTCCTGGGTTCAAGTGATTCTTCCTCCTCAGCCTTCTGAGTAGATGGGATTACAGGCGCCCGCTACCACACCCAGCTAATTTTTTTTGGAGTTGGGGTTTCAACATGTTGGCCAGGCTGGTCTCAAACTCCTGGCCTCAGATGATCTGCCTGCCTTGGCCTCCCAAAGTGCTGGGATTACAGGTGTGAGCCACCATGCCTGCCCGTAAACAATTTTTTTTCAGTTACAGAGTAGCATAGGTTATATAATCTGTTGAAACTATTCTGTTGGGCTCAAATGATCTATAAACAGATGTACCATCCACTGAACTACAATGTTTTTGAATCATAAATTCTTGCTGCTGCCATCACCAAGCCTTAATTAAGTACAGGACATCAGAGAAGACTCTAGAATGATTTTTGAGTTAGCTTCCAGTCTCCAGTTACCTTGTGGAGGTTTTGGTCCACATTTGACTATATTTCCTTTTTGACAGTCACCTTCTTTTTTTCTCTTTCCTTCTTTGTTTTCTTTGAGATAGGTATCATTATGTTGCTCAGGCTGGCCTCAAACTCCTAATATCAAGCAGTCCCCCTGCCTCAGCCTCCCGAGTAGCAGGGACTGCAGGCACATGCCAGCACACCTGGCTTAACAGTCACTTTAACCAAACATGACTTGCTGTACAAAAATGCAAGCAGGAAAAGAAATCATTTCGGAGGTGAATTATACAGATTAATGATTTAAATGTTGATTCATTTAGTATAGGATTTTTTGCAACATTTCTTTAAATAATTTCCCCCTCATATAGTTTAATGAGAACTCAGTCTCCTCATGACTTTTCAGGAGCACTCTGTTAATTTCAGTGGAAAGGCCTTCTTAGTCCAAGATCACGGCCCCCTTTGACACAGATCACGACCCCAGCAGCAGAAAAGTGGACTCATCCTGGGAAGAATGGCGAAATCCTATATTTCGGCAATGAGATGCTCTTGCTTTCCTTAGCAATATGTTAAAACAAAGCTAACATAAAAATACCGTAAAAAGTGTTATTTTTATTTAATTTCAGATGTGAGAGTAAGTAATGTTAATTGATAACTGTCATCAAAACTTTGAATTGTACTATCACCCAGTAATTTGGGGGTGAGCTTGTGTCCACATAAGATAGTAAGGAGAAAAAAAAAAAGCACATTCAGGGAAACCATTTTGGTCTCTTTGCTTATGTGTTTCCCTGGACCATTCGGGGTTGGTGGGGAAGTTTTCCAAATGCAGTTTAAATAAAGGGTCTAAAAGGAAAACTTACTGGTTCAAATAAATGCATTGCATTACAAGTACGAAAGCTGTATAGAGTTTAATGACATAATGACCTTTCTGTTTCAGGGGAATTAGATTGTAAGAGTTTCATCCAGTTTTCTTCCGATCACCAGACCAGGGAGGCTCATTTCAACTTTTCACAAGTAAAATACCTTCTTTCTGAGTGGCAGGAAATTTAAATTCCTCCATTGTGTATACACTGGAAATCCCTAATCTCAAATCCATCCATTTTCTACCTATGGTTCAGAAGGTTTTAAAACCAATGTACTGTCAAGAACTTTGGAGAAATAAAATGTCCCAGACATAATCAAATGACATTATTTGTATTCCAGGTTTTACTATGGGATTTATCTTTGACTCCAAGTATCATCAGGGTGGCGTATGGTGACGGATTCTGCCAGATCTGTGCCATTTCATTAACTTGTTGGGTACAGCCCTCCAAGCCTAAGACTAAGCTAATGCTCCATAGCAAAGAAGACAAATTACAAACTCCTTAGTTCATTAGAGTCTGGTATTACATTTCTATTGTTTACTCTAAATGTTTTGTTTAAACTAAGCTCTCTGCTAAATGAGTCGTTAAACGGTAATGTTTGGATTTTCATAATTATAATTGAATTTTACAGGTCTTAAATCAGCAGGAGTTCAGGCTGAGTGAAAAGTTTTAATGCATGACATGTGAAACCAAGGCTTTAGCTAACTTATTTCAGCTAACTGTTTTTCATAAGAAAACTATGAACTCTAACACATAAATTGTCCAGTTCTTTCCTCTCACAGATATAATTCACTATTTGGCTTTAGTAATCACTTATGTACAAATGGCTCAGCACAAGTAGCACCTCACATTTCCACACAGTTAAAAGGATACAGAACTTTTTCACATATATCTGCTGCATTCCTGTAATCCCCACCCCTTAGCTGGGGGCGGGGGGGTGTCTTTTCTCCACAGCTTTTTCCCAAAAGTCTCCCAGGTTGGTTTCTGCAGGGGTTATCTTTCTATTCATCAATCTTAAGATTGATTTTGTTCACTCTTGATCAAATACATCTCATTTTTCAAAACCAACTTTAAAATCTGTTCTGAGGGAAGCATATGCTACTCATCCATCTGCAGCCCATTATTAGAAAACTTTTTCTTTTTTTTTTTTTAGAGGGAATCTCACTCCATTGCTCAGGCTGGAGTTCAGTGGTATGATCTTGGCTCACTGCAACCTCCCCCTCCCAGGTTCAAGTGATTCTTGTGCCTCAACCTCCCGAGTAGCTGGGATTACAGGTGCGCACTACCACACCTGGCTCGTTTATATATTTTTAGTAGAGATGGGGGTTTCACTATGTTGGTCAGGCTGGTCTCGAACTCCTGACCTCAAGTGATCTGCCCACCTCAGCCTCCCAAAGTGCTGGGATTATAGGCATAAGCCACTGCGCCCAGCCCATCAATCTTAAGATTTTGTTCACATCTCATTTTTCAAAACAAACTTTATGTTCTGAAGGAAGCATATTGTACTTATTCATCTGAGATCCCTTATGAGAAAACTTTTTTCTTATAACTGAAGACATAAACAGTGATTTTCAACCCTTTTTTTTTTTCTTACTTAGAATTTTTTATCCAAAAGTCTTATGCAGAACCTGGATTTAAAATAGGCAGAGGTAGGCTGCTTTACCTGACATCCCTGGCAGGTGGCAGCCCACCAGTGACTTTCCTCATGGCTCCTTTCAGCTCCCTGTAGCTGTCTCTGTGCCACCTCCCAGGAAGCTTAAATTCATGCTTCACGAGTTATCATCAAGTCAACTCTGGACCGTGCAAAAGTCTGTCCACAGCCAGTGATTTCTGAGCAAGCGCTGCCCAGGGAGATGACAGCCAGGGCCACACTAAGGAATGTGGTGGCTTGGGCCAGGTGAAGGAACCTTGTAGTTCTCAAGCAGAGTCCTGTCCTCCAGGCCGGGCAGAGGGGGTCCTTGAGGGAAGAGCCCCAGAAAGTTTCCCTGAGCAGCCATTCCTGTTTGTTGCAGGCTTTGCTCCCCCAAGACCTTGACCAAGAAGTTGATATACCTCATTGCCAGGCGAAGCGTTTCATTTTTGCTCAGCTTTTTGTCTGGAGGGTGAGTGGGGATGAGCTTCCTCAGCTTGGCAAAGGCGCTGTTGACATTCTGCTGCCTCCACCGCTCCCTGGTATTTGTGAAGATCTTCCTGGTCATGTTTGAGTTCCTGAGATGGAAAGAAAAAGGGCCCTCAGGGCCAATATCTTATAAGAGGCCTGATTGGGATCACGTGTCCTGCCAAGAACCTGAGATGTTAGATTTTCTCGACTCAGAGCTTAGGAGATTCATTTCCTCAATTTCAGGTTTTTTGACAAGAGAAGAAACTGTCGTAGAGAGGGGAAGGTAAGAACAACACCCTTCAGCCTTTCTCCCTGGCTATTTTGAAGCCTCCAACTGAAAGACTGCTTTGTCCCAATACTCCTATTTCTTCCTTTATAACCAAGCCTTTCTAATTATTCGGAATCAGGTACAATATTGATTGAGTTTATGTGTGAATACAATATATGTTTGGCCAATAGAAAGTTTTTTTTTTTTCTTTTTTGAGATGGAGTCTCACTCTGTCACCCAGGCTGGAGTGCCATGGCACAATCTCAGCTCACTGCAACATCCAGCTCCTGGATTCAAGCAATTCTCCTGCCTCAGCCTCCAGAGTAGCTGTGACTATAGGTGCCTGCCGCTATCTTTGGCTAATTTTTGTGTTTTTAGTAGAGATGGAGTTTCACCATGTTAGCCAGGCTGATCTTGAAGTCCTGATCTCAGGTCATCTGCCCGCCTTGGCTTCCCAAAGTGCTGGGATTGTAGGCATGAGTCACTGCACCCAGCCACCAACAGAAAGTTGAGTATGAATCAACACTGTATTCTCAGAATGAAGCAAAAAAACAAAACGATTCTAGGTTTCATTAATAAAATAAAATTTGGAATGGAGAAGATAATACAGCTCTCTTGTTAGCTGGCAGACCCCACCCAGTGGATTCAGCCCCTCTCTGTAAGAACAGAAATATCCAGACTGGACTATATTTAGGGGAGGAGGAACAGAGTGATGAAGGGTCTTGAAACCGTGTTGTTGGGGTATTTAGTCTCACAAAAATGAAAAGACAAGTCGCAGGTGGGAGTGGTCTTTTGGCGTGGATTCCATAGTAGATACTTGGGCCTCTTCGGGGCTGCACTGGATGACCTTTCCAAGTCTAGAAGAGTGGTTTATCATCATATACTGCCAAGTATTATGCAGCCAGTTTTCACTCTTAGAGGCATGGACCCCTTTTTTTCAGGTGGCTTGGATTAACATGTGTTATAGGAACACTTGGGATGCACTGGCAAACAAGCCAAAGGCCAGCCTCAGGCAGGTTGGTATTTTGGCTTACTGCTATTGGTCTGCTGCCTGCTCCACGCTCAGCTCCCCGGGCACTGAGCCCTTTCTAGTTCTCTAAAGAGTCATGAATATTCTCAACTCTACCCTTTTGCACATTGTCGTTTTCTGTTTTGCATTTCCTCCCCACTCTCTACTTACCTATTTCTTTAAAGAGCAGTCAGATCTTAACTTTCCACCAAGCCCTGACTCTACAGGAGTCTTCAGAGAATTCAGCCATCAGTGGAGCCATATGCATGGTGGTCAAGAGCACAGGCTCCAAGGCCAGAACCCTGGTTTGGCTGTTGGTTCTACTCCCCCCAGCTGTGTGACCTTCAGCAATCTACTTAACCTCTCTGTGTTTCAATGCCTCATAAGTAATGATCAGTTCAGGGGTACTGCATCATCGTGAGGACACATAAAATGATGCACATAAAGCACCTTAGCTCAGTGACTGGCGCATAGTGAAGGCTCAATAAATATTTAATGATTGGCCTGGCTCTATGGCTCACACCTGTAATCCCAGCACTTTGGGAGGCCAGGGTGGGCAGGGCATGAGATGAGGAAATCGAGACCATCCTGGCCAACATGGTGAAATCCCGTCTCTATTAAAAATACAAAAATTAGCCGAGCATGGTGGTGCATGCCTGTAGTAAGAGCCAATCAGGATGCTGAGACAGGAGAATTGCTTGAACCCAGGAGGTGGAGGTTGCAGTAAGTCAAGATCACTCCACTGCACTCCAGCCTGGGTGATAGAGTGAGACTCTGTCTCAACTACAGCAACAAAAAATTAATAATTATTATCTCTACAAATAAAACAGAGAAAAGTAAACATTGTAATTTATCATTTTCTTCCTAATGAAGAAGTTATCATGCAGTAGAGAAGGTCTGAGCTTTGTTTATGTGCTCTTTTGATTCACTTTACAGGAACATATGGGTGTGTGTGTGTGTGTGTGTGTGTGTGTGTTTGTATGCAGAGCATAAACCTGGAAGGATTCAGGACAAACTGTCAACAGTGGTTCCCTGGGGGAGGACAGTAGATTGGGAGAAGAGAAAAAAGGGAGAGAGACTTGTGGTGTTTTATTCTGTATGCCTTAGTATTGTTTTATATATATACACACACACACACACACACATACATATATATGTAAATATATGTATATATATGTATTTTTTTTTGAGACAGCATCTCACTCTGTTGCCCAGGCTGCAGTGCAGTGGCACGTTCTTAGCTCACTGCAACCTCCGCCTCCCAGGTTCAAGCGATCCTCCTGCCACAGCCTCCCGAGTAGCTGGGACTACAGGTGCGTGCCACCATGCCCAGCTAATTTTTTTGTACTTTTAGTAGAGACGGGGTTTCACCATGTTGGCCATGTTGGTCTCGGTTTCCTGATCTCGTGCCCTGCCCACCCTGGCCTCCCAAAGTGCTGGGATTACAGATGTGAGCCACCACTCCCAGCTGTTTTATATTTTTATAAGAAATTATTCATATATTATTTGCTTCATAATAGAAAAAAAAATGTTTTAAATGCCATGGGCTTTAGAGCAGAAACACCCAGCTTTGACTCTCTACTCTCAATTTCCTAGTTATCAGCTGACTCCTCGAAGCCTCGGTTTTCCTCTCTGGAGGGAGATACAGCCATCTGCAGGACTTTCCCGAGGATTACATGAAATGCATTATAAAGTGTCTGGCACGTGGGTGCTAAATAAATGCAGCAATTTCTTCTCTATACACATGGAAAGCATCATTGTTGCAAAGAAAAGCATTTTTCTTTCTCTCTGTGCTTTTTTAAAAAAACTATTTTTGGTAGAGAGAGGGTCTCACTGTGTTGCCCAGGCTGACTTGGAACTCCTGGCCTCAAGCAATCCTCCTGCCTCAGCCTCCCAAAGTGCTGGGATTACAGGCCGACCACAACACCAATTGCATTTTTCAATCATCTCTGTGCCCCCGGGACATTTCCCCATCCCAGCTCCTTTCCTGTTGCCTCTCCTGCTTGTGTCTGAGTTGCAGAGTCCAGTGCTATGCTGCGAATTCACAGTGAACTGGAAGAACTGCAGCCCAAGGTCACTGCATGGCTTCCGGCTCCCTCCACTGTCTACTTGGACCCACATCCTCTCTCTGTGGAGACATTCCTAGTTGGACCCACGGACCAATTACAATACTATGCACTCCAAGCTTTGGGACCAACATTTACTGAACCAGGTATAATGCTTGCTGGCAAGTGCTGAGAGGCTGGCTGATTGTTTTGACGTGTGAGGGAAGCACTGGGACTACAGGAGTGGAGCAGCAGCAGCTAACCAGGAACTCTAGCAGGCTCCCAGGCAGGCCAGGTCCCCTTCCAAAACTGAAAGGGGTGGGCCAGGTGATTCCCAAGGCCTCTTTCTACTCAGAAATGTCACAATGCCTCGCCCACTGCCTTTTTTTTTTTGAGACAGATCTTTGCTGCTGTCACCCAGGCTGGAGTGCAGTGGCCAATCTTACAATCTTGGCTCAATGCAACCTCTGCCTCCCAGGTTCAAGCAATTTTCCTGCCTCAGCCTCCCAGGTAGCTGAGATTACAGGCACCTGCCACCATGTACAGCTAATTTTTGTATTTTCAGTAGAGACAGTTTTTCACTATGTTGGCCAGGCTGGTCTCAAACTCCTGATCTCAGGTGATCACCTGCCTCAGCCTCCCAAAGTGCTGGGATTACAGGCATGAGCCATCATGCCCAGCCCCATTGCCTTTTATCTAACCTAAGTCATTTCTGAATAACCTGACCTCTCATATTACTAGGAAAACATGAATGTTGTCAGAACTATACCCAAGTATACCTAAAATGTAAAAGTTTGAACCTGAATCAAGGGGATTTTAAGGTAGAAAACTATCCAGTTTTGTTCACAGGGACATTGGCCAGGATTGTAGGAGCAAAGTTACATTCACACTTCTCTTATCAAAAGAGGGTCTAGTTCATTCACTAAGCCAACCGTAGTCCCATGGGGGGTCTTTTTCAAGCTGGGAGGAAAAAAGATTAGGCAGGATAAACTAACTGCAGTATTCTTTTCTAAGAGGGCTCTATCCTATTGTATTAGAAACAGACAGAAGAAAACAGAGAAGACTGGCTTCTAAAATGTAGTCTGCCATCCTAGGAGGTGCTTAATCATTCCTTGTTGATTTATCCTCAAGTGTGTTCCTCTCCTTCTCCACAGGGGAAACAGAAATCAGTGATTTAACAAGCTGGAAAAGCTCAAAGTAGAGGTCACTGGAAAATCAGTGCAGTACTTATTAAATCAAAGGAAAATTGCATTTAGTGTTTTTCCAGTTGCAAGGACTGATTGCTGCTAATCGTGATTTCAGAGTAACGTAAGAGCTAAAAAAAAAAAAATACACTAAATGCCACAAAATCAGAGAACATCTGATAGATGCCAAAACAGAGGCAAAGCATTTAGGCCACACAGGGAATCAGCGGTACAGCCTGTGTCCCAGAACTGGATATTCATGCATTTACATCACTATTGAGGACTCCTGCTGGGTCAGGGTTCATAACCTTTTTTGTACCATGGACCCTTTTAGCAGTCTGGGGAAGCCTAGGAACAGATTCCTTTTCAGAACAATGATTTTAAATACATAAAGTAAAAAGGCTTTGGATCCCATCTCACAATAATTATTTTAAGTCCATAAATTAAAATATATAGACACAGAAAATAACCAATTATTTTTAGTAGTTGTTAAAATAACTTAAAATACAATATAGCAATACATGTGCTTCATTTTTAACCCATTAAATAACTAGACATTACGATAATCTCTAAAAAGTGAATGTAGGTGTTGTTTTCAAAAGATCTGCAACATCTGTGACATGAAATGCATGTATTTATGATTTCTACTGGTGACAAATTCACTGCCATGGCTAATACTACTATAATTTATTAACCATATTCATAAATAAAGGAAATGCTATATTTCAATGAAAGGTTAGTGGAAGTAAAGATGTAATTTTTCTCCAGCCAAATTCATAGAACCCCTGAATTCCATCTACATATCCCTGGGTGGATGGGGGTTGTGCGCCCAGGTTAAGAATGCCTAGGTTGGAGGAAAGTCAGGTAGAAACACCAGGAACATGGATATGCATAAATTCTGTTTATATTGTTGCTACTGAAGGTAACACATTAGCAGAGAAAAGGAGGACACAGTCCCCTAAGAAGGTGACCAATGCCCCTAACAAGAGCTGCTACTTTTTGTGCCAGGGGTTCCTGGACACGAAAAGGGGCGTCGGCAGGGAGCGGGGTGGGGCGGGGCTGGGTTGGGGCTGTCCCAGACATTCGCTCACATACAGTTCTTTCTACATTCTGCTTTAAAAGTCTCTTCCTGGCATTTGGTCCTGTGCATTTGTCTCTTCCTTCACCTTGCTCTTGAAAGTAAGTGAAAATACTCAACAGGAAGGGTGGTTTATGTAGTTAGATCGGGGAGCAGTGCTTCACCTCCAACACTAGGCACAGCTTGCCTTTTGAAGTTATTATAGACATAACACAAGTTCATTTAAGAATAAAAATATCAAGCATACACATGTGCCTGAAGTAGAGCAGAAAAGGCTCCCTACCTCTCTAGCTACTCAAGTCTCACTCCCCAGGTGCAGCCAGTTTGGTGTATTACACCCCAACCTTTAAAATCACCATATGTATTATGCAAGTTACTTTTCTCACTTACACAACTGTGCGTGTTGATATATTAAATCAGCACACAGTATGAATACTGCTCTTTGGCGCGGTTCACGGTAGCCTCACACTGGGGGAACCACCTGTTCTAAGACGCACGCAACACCTGCACCTCGCGGCCTGGACGCACGTGGAATACCCCGTCCAACCGGCCCAACCTTCTTCCCTTGCCAGCTGCACTTCTAGGCCCTTTTCTTTTGGTTTTTACGTTTGCTCCCCCTGGCAACTCATCGCCTTGCCTACTAAGTATTTCGGGAGTCCGGGAAAGCATCTCGTGGCTGAAGTTTCGAATCTGCCAGGTGTCCGGGAGGGGCTCCGAGACGCGCGAGCTCCTTGAAGGGCTCTGGGAGATGCGCTGCCGGGAGCGGCACAGGAGGTTCCCGGCATCACGCTTGAAAGCGACGCGGCCCCGCCAACACGCTAGGAAGTCGGCCTGGCACCCCCGGGGCCGAGCCACCACCCCTGCCCCGCGGAAAGTCCCCGGGTCTTCCCACCGAATTGGCTCGGTGGCTGCTACCAAGTCTCCGCCGCTCCCCTGCCCTCCCGGGTGAGTGTGAGTGTGGCTCAGCGAGAGACCCGCAGGCCCACGAGCCCGGCCCTGGTGGCGCCCACGTCCCCCCGGAGTCCACGCACCTCCTCGCCAAGAGCCCGCGCCGTCGCCGTCACCCTCGCCGGCCGTGTGCGCCCTCGCCTGGACACCGCGCCGCCGCCTTTATAGGACACCGCCTTTTGTCTCGCGAGCTCTGGGGGCCCCTTCCCGACGGGGACTCCCACCGGTTCCTCCCCATTCCCCGCGCCCTGGCTTCCCGGATCAGCCCGCTCTTGTGTTCCAGAAAGGGAGCAAGGGAGGAAAGAGAGCCCCGTCTTGTGTGAGACTTGGGGGCGGTAAGGGGGTCCTGCCACACACCTGGGCTAGGGGAGCCGCTTACCCACCTCCTTCTCCAACACATTCAAACCTGGGAAAGTCGGTATCCACTGTTAATTCATCAGTTGTTTATTAAGCCTCAGTGAACCTCCAACTGGAGTTCAGGAACCACTTGCTTCAGAGTCACAGGTGGGGAAGGAGGATCCCATCACCCACAAGCCAGACCCACGAAACCAGGAGTTTTTTGGGGGTAGGGGTGTGGTCCAAAATCTGTATTTTTAAAACCTAAGTATTTCAGGAGATTAAGATGCACAGCAGAATTTAAGTCACTGTACTGGGCAAGGTTCCGAATTTAGCCATCTGTTTCCACAGTGCCCAGTGAGGGAGGGGCCTCCTAATGGGTCCTCCTGCTTCTGCACTTGCCTCCTTGTCTGTTCTCCAACATCATCCAGAATGATGCTATGAAAACACAAGTCAGATTCTGGTCACTTCTCCGCTCAAAACCCCATAGTGGCTCTCCATTTCACTGGGTTAAGCTGAAGTCCTTGTAAGGTGCCCGGACAGCCGGGCGCGGTGGCTCAAGCCTGTAATCCCAGCACTTTGGGAGGCCGAGGCGGGTGGATCGCGAGGTCAAGAGATCGAGACCATCCTGGTCAACACGGTGAAACCCCGTCTCTACTAAAAATACAAAAAATTAGCTGGGCATGGTCGCGCGTGCCTGTAATCCCAGCTACTCAGGAGGCTGAGGCAGGAGAATTGCCTGAACCCAGGAGGCGGAGGTTGCGGTGAGCTGAGATGGCGCTATTGCACTCCAGCCTGGGTAACAAGAGCGAAACTCCGTCCAAAAAAAAAAAAAAAAAAAAAAAAGGATCCCGGACATACCTTTTACCCCTCTGCCTGTCTCTTCTCCCTGGGGCTCACTCAGTTCTAGCCACTCTGGTCTTTGTTGTTTCAGGAATACACCAGACACTCTCCTTCCTCCAGGCCTTTTGGCTGACTGTTTCCTCTGCCTTAAACACCTCCCTCAGATAGCCACGATTCCCTCCCTAACCTCCTTTCATTCATTCAACACATTATTATTGAGCCTATCATGAGCTAAGCCCTGTTCTAGTTGCTGGAGGCACAACTTCAAACAAAGCAGATACAAGTCTTTGCTCTCAAGGAGCTGACATCTTTAGGTCTTCACTCAAATATCACCTTCTCAGTGAAGTCTCTAACCACAATATCTAAAATTGCACCGTCTGTCTGATATGCTAGCAAGCCTGTAACCCTACCTACTCCAGAAGCTGAGGCAAGAGGATAGCCAGAGGCCAGGAGTCTGAGGCTGTAGTGCACTATAAATAGCACCTGTAAATAGCCACAACACTCCAGCAGTCAACATAGTGAGACCCTATCTCATAAAAAAAAAAAAAAAAGAAAAATTAATTTACACACACACAGCATCTTCATCCTTGTTTGCTTTATTCTTAACACTCCTCCCCACTTAGTAATATTTACTTATCTTCTCTGCCTCTTCCCCACCCCGTCTACTCCCAGTGAATAGGTGTTCATCAAATGTTGATTAATGAATGAATAAGTAATGAATTCCTAGGTACCACCGTCTCTGAAAGATCTGGTATAGGATCTGGCACGATAAATTCACAAATGCATTAAACCTTAGCGGATAAGAGCAAAGCGCTCCAGAGTTACATTACCCAAGTGGAAATGCCTTGTCTATTCACTTATGTGATCCTAGGCAAATTATAGAATGTATGCTTGCCTTAGTTTCTTTATCTGTAAAATGGGGACAAAGACAGAATTGTGAGCATTAAATGAGAAAAAAGAAGGTAAGGCATTTAGCAGTATGCCTAGCACAGTCGGTATATTGTATATTTTATTGTGGTCCATTGTATTATTGTTAATAACTATTGGCTCCCTTCCCTGGGAGAGGATTATATAGCCCCATTCACTGCCATGTGATTGACAGCCCCTCCCTGTAAGTGGCGGGACTATACCTCCCTGCCCTATTGCCAGGCTTGACCATACGACTTGCATCAGCCAGCAGAATGTGAGCAGCCCTAATGTTGCTCATGATGAAGCTTTACGAGGGGCTGCTGGACCTGGCATGGTAGTAATCCCAGCACTTTGGGAGGCTGAGGCGGGCAGATCACTTGAGACCAGGAGTTCAAGACCAGCCTGGCCAACATGGTGAAACCCCATCTCTACTAAAAATATAAAAAATTAGCCAGGCATGGTGGTGCATCACTATAATTCCAGCCACTCGGGAGGCTGAGGCAGGAGAATCGCTTGAACTTGGGTGGCAGGGGTTGCAGTGAGCCAATATCATGCAACTGCATTCCAGCCTGGGGACAAAGCAAGATGCTGATTGGGATTGCTGGATAGGCTCAGCCACGACAAAGTTATATTTGGGGTTGCCTGTGCAGCCTGGACGCCACGGAGCAAACCCACAACCATCTATAGCCCTCATATAACATGAGTGAGAAATCAATCTTTACTGTCTTAAGTCACTGAGACTTTGGGGTTGTTTGTCACACCACCACCCACCTTACCCACCTCCAAAACAAACTAACAATACAGTTTTATTATAAATTAAAATGTGTTGGATAAATTGCTGCGTTATGGTGGTAGGCGGGGAGTGCGGTAGGATGGGAGGTGGGCCCGAAGGTGAGGAAAGCTCTGTATCTGTTTTCAAGGTACTAACTGTATTCGAAGGGAGAAGACATGACAATGTGACTAATATAAGATAGACAGTCCGGCATGCGAGAGTGTGAAATTAGAGTTAGGGATAGAGCGGTAGATTCTAGCTGGATCACAGGTTGCCCATGGGAAGGATGGCATTTAAACTAGGCCTTGGAGCAAGGGTGGCTCTGACATTTGTGGGGTCCATGACAAGGGTACAAATGGAGACTCCATCCCCACCCACATTCTTTTCCCACCTGCTAGCTCTGTCCTTTTCTGTGAAGGGCCTTGTTGTGAATATGATGTGAACTAGCCCACATGGGCCTCAGGAATAGCCCTATCTAGGCCCTGGAAATGGGCTCACAGCCATTTGAGCAGAAATTCAGGGGTCCCAGATACCCAGAATATGTTCCAGAAGGTAGGACATGGGGGTTGGGGGTTGGGTGAGCACTGGAGGAGGGCCAGAACAGGGCCATCTAAAGCACAGTGTCCAGGGCAGGGGCTCTGACTGCCTGGGTGGCTGGTGGAAGGGTAGTAAAGGCTGGGTAGGAATTATAATACTAGTGTAGGAGTGGAGGAGGGCAGCCCAGGCAAACACAACCGTGTGCTTTGAACATGGGAACAGTATGTTTAGTTACAGGTCACAGGACTCATTCTGGTGGCAGTATAGAGGATGGATTGGAGGGTGGATTAGAGAAAATTAGTTGGTCAAAAGCGATCTTTAGAAACATAACCTAAAGCCAGACATGGTGGCTCATGCCTGTAATCCCAGCACTTTGGGAGTCCAAGGCAGGTGGCTCCCCTGAGGTCAGGGGTTTGGGACCAGCCTGACCAACATGGTAAAAACCCATCTCTACTAAAAATACAAAAATTAGCCAGGTGTGGTGGTGCATACCTGCAATCCCAGCTACTTGGGAGGCTGAGGCATGAGAATTGTTTTGCTTGAGGCAGAGGTTGCAGTGAGCCAAGATCACGCCACTGCACTCCAACCCGGGCGACAGAGTTGAGACTCCATCTCGAAAAACAAACAACAAAAACCTAATGTTTGCAGTCATTTTCCCCGATTTGCTCCTCTTTCTGCTCCTCTGTTCTACCTATATGGCAATTCTGATACAGCAAATGTTACATTTTAAAGCAATAACCAGTATTAATCTTCACCTTAGCCAAAAACTGTAAGGTAATATTTTTTTCAATGGCATATTTTACAGCTGAGAAAAAGAACTGTGGTAATAGTGCAGCAAGATTGGAAATGTGTGATGCTAAATGAAACAATAAGCTGTCAAATAGGATCTGTGTGCAAATGGTCAAGGACTGAGAGAAAGGACAGGGGCTGCAGAGAAAGGAGCATGATTGTGTTGACATACTGGGACCAGGATTGATGTTTTTTTCCTTTCAAAATGTTCTTAAATGCTATTGTTGGTTTTATACTTTTAGAAGCTGGGGAACAATCTTTGGGGCATCATTCCACTAGCAGTGATCCTTCAGAGTGATGAGTCCTCTCCCATACCAGTGTCCCAATGTAGAGAATTTGGGGGCTAGGACCTGCAGGGGAAGGGGTTGAAGTAGGAATTTACATAAGCCGATTATTGGGGGATTAGGTTTGGGCAGCTAAACGCCTCTGTGTGCTTGAGCTAAAACCCTTACTATTCATGGCTCTCACCGCCCCCTGGAGAGACTGCACCTGCGAGCTCCTGGGGAGGAAACAGAGGGCTGGGGAGGGAAGGGCAGGTCACTAGGAGAGCTTGGGCACTGTCAGGCTTTCTGGTTCTCCTGGTTTAATTGATATGTCTGGATTAGCCTGTGAATCTTTGCCTTCTAGTCCTATATACAGGGGTTGTCAGTTTCAGGAAAGACCAAACCTTGAATTTTTGTTATTTATTTAATTTATTCATAAAAGTAGAGACGGGATCTCACCATCTTACCCAAGCTGATCTTGAACTCTTGGACTCAAACAATCCTCTGGACTTGGCTTCCCAAAGTGTTGGGATTACAGGAGTCAGCCACAGCCATGGCCCAAACTTGGAACTTCTGGAAGGGATTTCTGCCATCCTAAGTGGGTGTGGGCCAAGACTGTTTTGGCTGGAGGTCAAGCATCAGCCTTTGCCACTCTTAAAACTCTCTTCTTCCCTCCTCCATTCTTGACCCTTTACCAATCTCCAATTCTATGTATTGAGGCCCCTATTCATCCATCATCTCTCCATTTATCCAGTCATTTATTCATCTCTTCTTTCATCCACCTATTGTGCATGCATCCATTAATTTATTAAACAGATGAATTAGCTGGTTCTTGATATTTAATACAATTTACTAGTAAATCCTTCTAGGTAGGTTTTGTTCCTTCATGTGTTCTGTCTCAAATTAATTTTGGCACGTTGACATATAATTTTGGACATTTTCTGATTCATTAGAAGAGTGTTATATTCAGTTATTCAGTTACTTTCTAAAATCTCTGTATTTGTTTTATACCTTCTCATGCCTCATGTTATGTGTTTATGACTTCTCTTTCTCTCTTCTTGATCCTTGTTGCAAAAGTCTGTCCATTTTATTGCTCTTAAAAATAACTGGCTCTGGGATTTGCTTATCATTTTTATGATTTTCAAATACACTTTCTACCAAATCTTTATTAAATCTGTTCTTTTTATTTATGTTTATCTCCTCTCCACCCTACCACTCTTGGAATGAATGCTTATTTATTTTTACTCTTTCTTGTTTAGTAAGAAAAGCATTCCAGGATGTGAACTTTCTTCTGATATACCTTTGGGGATATCCCGTTTTCATTTGCAGTATCATTGTCCTTGGTTTCTAATGTCTGTTGCTTATTTTTCTTTTTGAAAGTGTTTTTAAATTTTCTTGTGTTTTTTGGCAACCATTTGCAATTAGTTTCTAATTTTGTTGCATTATAGTGAAAGATATGCCCTGTATGTTTTTTGCTTGGGTATATTTATTGAGCATTTCTTTCCTCTTTGGTAAAACATACATTCAAATTTTATAAATGTTTCATAGGTACTAGAAAAGGAGATATATTCTCTGTTTGAATGGCAAAATGTCCTTTTACACATCCATTAAATAAATTTATATTCTTGGAAGTTTTGATCTACTTGATCTATTCAAGAGAGCACTGTGTGAAAATCTCCCTTTACTATTTTGTGTCTGTTCTTTTTGTTTTTCCAGGAGTGTTTGCTTTAGATCTTTACATCTTTTGATGCATTGCTTTTAAAGCATAAAGACCCATGGAAGTTTTTTTATTGACTTAGAGGATTGTAGCCTATATCAGTATAGAATGTCTTGCTTTTTATCATGAATTTCATTTTGTTTATTATATTAATATTACAACCCCTTTTGAATTTGCATTTTCCAAGTTAAACTGTGTCCACTCTTTACACTTAATTTGTGGGTGTGTGGGAGTGACTCTTGGTTGTAAGAAACTCTTTTTGATACATTTCAATTCTTTTAACTCTTTTTTTCTTTAAAGGAGGCCCTACCTCCATGTTGAATTCTTCAAAACAAATCTCATTCTAGTTTACTTGCTACATTATAAACTTCATGAGGACAAAGACTTAGTTTCCTTAATCACTAGACCCCAGGAATTGTGCTCACTTGTGCATAAAAGCTGCTTGATCAGACATTTGTTGAATGAATGCAAGAAAGCTCTTATTTCTTCAGACAGCTGCCTCCAGCCTGCCCTGCTTTCTATCAGCAGACACATAGCTTGCTCTGTGAGGTAATGTTACCAAGGCCATAGAAGGATTA